AATCCAGACACTTTTTTCTGGAACTATTAAACTGCTTGAAACGAACATGGAATAACAATAGTCAGTCTGACCATTTGATATTTTAATATAAAGGTGAAATTTTCAAACATTTTTTTGAATAAATATTAAAACAAAACATATCAAGTCAATCTCATCATTTGATGCTCTAATCCGATTTTATTTCTAAACCTCCAAAACCTTGTAATTACAACATACCTTTGAGACAATGATGATCATTTTGAGTAATAAGCTATAAACCCCTGGTAGATGATGAGACCTGGGACTCTACTACATACATCACAAACCAAACCAATAACATTGACCCATCTGGGCATGACTCGATCTTTCTTGCTCTACTTCCAGGAAAAGGACTAACCTTGATCTCAATTTTGATGTACAAATTACGCATTTTTTTATTACAGAAATCAATAATTGACACATGCAGATGGCAGAAGGCACGCTCATCTAGAGCCAGATAAAGACTTTAACCATAATATTATCTCATAAACTTGTGACCATATGTTAGTACTGTTATTGTATCTTATTATTATTATTATTATCACTGATCAGAAACGACGTGGCAGATTTACAGTGAAGATCTGACTGAAAAATTAATATCTAGCACAAGACAATGACAAGAGAGAAAATGAAACAATTATAGAGAGGGTATTAAAAGGAAAAAAATGTAAATGCAGAAAAAAGGAAAAATGAGAAGGAAGAAATATGATAAGCCAGAAATATACTACAATTATAGAGAGGAGGGTGAGAGAGATAGAGAGAGAGAGAGAGAGAGAGAGAGAGAGAGAGAGAGGGAGAGAGAGAGAGATATGGAACAGAATGCAGGCTACGTGTGCATTTAAATGTAAACATAGTTACTAGAAATTCAGCATGAGAGGACAGAAAAGAGAAGAGAAGAAAAGAAAAGAAAAGAAAAGAAAAGAAAAGAAAGGGAGAGAGAGAGAGAGAAAGAGAAAGAGAGAGAGAGAGAGAGAGAGAGAGAGAGAGAGAGATAGAGGGGGGGGGGGGGTACAAAGCATCAACAGGTTTCTAGAACAATATACGCCGTTACTAGGTTAAAAGACAAAAATTCCACACCTTTTCTATCCAAACTTTTTTTTCCCTGTATAGAAACCACCTGTTTGCCCTTCCACCAAGATGCTGAAATAGCTGTACAATCAATATTTGACACAAATAATGTATACCTAGTGAAAAGAAATATGAAAAGTGTTGATAACTTGTGTTTTTACATTCTTCATGAACTAGTTTTGTCTTCTAGCCTTCTTTTGTCCCCTTACGTTTTCAAGGTTCCCATTCTCCTAAAATAGAGATAATTCTGGCCCTAATGCTATCACAATTAAGCAATTTACAGTTAATGACTTCGAATTCCATTACAGTTGCTAGGAAATATTAGAGCTGCTATCTATTTGTTTATTGGTTTTTATTGATAATTGCTTTTAAAGCTTCAAGTTAGATTGCATAGCTTTGCAGCTAGAGGATAAGAGGTATTGGGGTTGTATTTTTAATGGTATGAAATAATATTTTGTTTTTATAAGCCTCTACAGGTTCAATCTTTGAACAAATTAGGAATCTAAACAGATTCAATAAATTAAATTTTTAAAAAGAGGCAGAGAGAGAGAGAGAGAGAAAGAGAATTTTGATGATGTAATACCATATAAGGCAGATGAGAAAAGGCAGATGAGAATAGACAAATAAAAGAATAAATTCATAAATATTATCTACAAATTTGACATTTCGTCCTTGTTTTCACGAAGTGACGGTAGTGAGGAAAATCGTAACGCAAAGTGAATGCAATTTTTTTTCACTACCGTCACTTCGTGAAAACAGCGACGATTTATTTAATTATATAGAAATAAATCAGCCACTGCATATTTCCTTCGTATCTCACTCCCTATCAGACAATTTAGCTTGATAAAACAGGAACTCATTCTTAGCACTTCTTAGTTTTATTTCAACTCGGGGAATAGCAAAGGGTTTTAGTTGATATTTTCTTGATTTGAAGGAAATAGATGAAGTTTTCTTTCATGAAAAGTGATTTGTTCATCTACCCTGCAATATGAAAAGCACTGGTAAAAATGCACTGTTCATCGTCTGGCCTCACAAGAAGCGGCGCTGCAGGGCAATGACCTGCGGGACTCTCTCGCTCGGTCACATTCAATGCTTTGTCCAGACTTGTTCAGAGTGTCACATTACCGAATATCGACATCTGTCTTGAGAAGAACGTGTTACATCTAATGTAACACCTGCTCGACTATGTTCACCTGAACCTTAACTGGAGAGGGAGATAGAGAATGAAAGAAAGAAACCCTCGGGCTATCTCACCGTGTTTTTATACGATGGGGCGATACCCGACATTTTGCACTTTCCGCCATCCACCTCAACCATCTATAGAGAGAGGAGCTGTCAGAGAAAATTAATTTCCCACACATCATCACCACAACGGAAACAAGGAGGAAAGAAGCGGTGGAACGCATCAAGAGAGCTAGAATATAGAAGATGACTGATAGAAGTCAAAACATGCTGCCCCACTGTACTATCGGGTTCCATCAATGATGGTAGAATACTTTCCAGTTCCCATCCAATTCAAGTGTCAATTTGCCTCGGGACGCATCGTGAGCCAGCTCTGCGGCGAATCCGATCTCAGGCTAGCACTTTTAGAGACCGCCAATTATGGCAGACAAATAAGTCACCTGTTTCCGGTGGACCAAGTATTGTGGGATATCGATCCCGCTTTGGGTTTTAGAGGAGAAGTGGATTTGTAAGGGTCTGTCATGATTTTGTGGATATCATAAGCATTTCCTCTCATCGTGTCTATCATGTGTCCATTATAAAGTGTCACATCTCATCAAACACTCCAAATGATCCCCCAATTGACAAATCTATCTCCATCAGTAAGAAGGAGATGAAAAAGGGATCATGTGTTCCTTACGTTTTTGGCTCATCACTCAGCTACTAAACTTTTTCTATTAAATGCTTAGGAAAATACCAGTTATTTACTATAGCCTTGAACATTTCCTGTAAATCCAGTTTGATTTGGTGAAATTTCATTTTCCATCATTCCTGTAACTCAGGTTTTTTTTTTAAAAGGAAATTAGTTGAGCAACGATGTAATGTCCAGAACTGCACAGGACCTTATCATACTAGGTTAAAGGGATTGTTTAACAATGTTAAATCTGAGATACATCTTACCAGTGTCTGTGATATGGTGTAATATTGAAGCCCTAAAAAAAATCGAGCTTCAAAATGATCAAGAAGTGCCTCAAAAAAAGTAAAAAATCTTTGAGTGACCGGTTTTACCATACTCGTTTTCCCCAATAGACTGTAGTGTTATGAAAACCGTGGGGCGAACGGTTTTCAAAATTTGTAAGTCAAATCATTAATATCTTGATAATCAGACAGGCTTGTAAAAGTCATGGAGTTCCTGACTGACCTAAAGGCTTATAATTATCATTGCAGCATGAGCTAAATCAAGGATTATTTCTAAAGGATCTAAGACAAAATTACCGGATCCCTTTAACCATAATCATGACATTTTCCAAATAAATTAATAACTACATGTATGGTATATGACAACAATGAAATATGACGATTGGAGTGAATAGCATTTGCGAGAGCATTTAATGGATGACCTATTGGGGAAAAGTGCTGAGATTTCCGACAAATAAATTTTTTCTGTATTTCTTCACTCCTTTTCTTTATCTTATTTTGAGTTTGCAAATTTCTGCCAATCAGTGTTATGCTTTGATTGTGGGTAAATGAGAGTTATTATGAAAGATTAACCACAGAATCAATTCTGATCTAATATGACCCACATTTCAACACACAAACTTAATCAACCTCCCTATACTCCATATTGTACTTAATTTCTCTCTTATCCTGTAACTACAGTACATTAGGCTTGAACCACAGATATAGACTAGCCATCATTTTAGCACATGGAGCATGAATCGACAATCCACATGCGGTAAATGAATGAATAACAAGGACTGTCGTGTAATCAAATCCCCTCAAAACATATTGAGCCTGAAGTCCCACTTGTGTATCTTTAGCGGATCAAAATTACTTATTATACAAATAAAGAGTGCTCCAGAGTTCAATATATTAACAAAATGCATGAACCGAAAACTTCTGAATTTTCCTGAGTGATGTCATATTGCACCAACACTTGAGGACAAGGTTGAAATACAATTGCAAGAGGAAATTCTGAATTTGAAGGTGAATATTGAACAGGAATATGCATTCAATATTTGTAATATAACATTGAAGGTATTTGCCATCTCAAGCCACCCCAAAAGATCAGTTCAGTTCAGTTTATTTTATTTTTGCACGGCACCAACTTCAGCCAAAGGCTGTTCTTCTGTTGGTCCGTGCGAAAGAGAAGAAGACACAGACAGAGGAAGAGGGGGGTGGGGAGGATTACAAATCAAAATCTCCAAACCCACACAAATACATAACATCAAATGAATTCTGCAAAATGTAAATCATCATAGAGAACTCCATATTCTAACCTCTGGCAAGACATTTGTCACATTTGACTCAGATGAGGTAAACGGGTTCCTGGCAGGAATGCATTCCTCGGTATGCTCGAGTACTGCAAAGACACTCATGCTAAAGCCAGAAAGTCAGAATGTTTATAAGGGAGGGCCGGGAGTGGCAAATGTGACAGACGTAAGTGCTAAACAAAAACCCACTAGTTTTAAATTGGGAAAGCTAATAATAATATGCAGAAAGATACACAGAGAAGGACAGCTCACAGAAAGACAGAAGAACAGCTCAAGGAAAGAGACATAAGGTGAGAGAGGACAAAGATGGAAGAAAGCTGATGAGAGAGAAACAAAAACAGAGAGGGAGAGAGGGAGACAGAGACAGACAGAAAGACATAAAAGAGAAAGAGAGAAGGGTGGGGTCCAACATATAGAGTGACAGGAATCGTGGGAGGAGATGACAGACAGCATGACGGACAAACAGACATGTAATCTTACCATTTATCTTGAACGGAAGAACATATTTGATGGCCATCTCTGGTGCCATGAACGGATGTTGAATAGCCTCTGATACAGACATACGCTCACCTGTAATAACAAATATTGAAATACATACTTTTGATTAAGACTTTGAGAATCCATATTGTGTAGATGATACTCACATTAAGTTAATTTATTTTCCACAACAAGAATAGTACAAGAGTGCACAAATGACTAAAAAGCCTTTAAGGCGAACAACTGCAACAACTCAAAATACAATCAAACTACAAAAGTAAAGTCATCAAAATATAATGAGGACATTGACGATTTAAGATAATGAAACACAATGAAATAGGATACACATTGTATTAATGTGGAGGGACCCAACAGGAAATTATATCTTTAGCACATTCATGCCTCATCTTTGTCTTACACCAATCTGAGATAAAAGTATGACATGAATTCTTATAGATGTATCTGCACTTGTTTCCCTTGTTCTTTACAAGCCCATGCCTTCTTTGCTACATTGTTAATGTCCTATTTCTTCCCCATGCCATCCTTGAGACATACACATTTATATGACAATTTCATTTCAGATCGTTATTGAGCAAAAATTTATTTTGATAATACCTTCAGTGCCCTCTCACTCCAGGGGAATGTTTCACACTAAGTTGAGCTTATCTCTAAGTTGGACTTAACAATTATGAAAAGCCATTGGCATCTTTGAAAATATTTTGTAAAAGTTATTTTAAAAGGCATAAAATGTTGACTCAGATAATTTATATTTTCCATTATCAAGGAGATTTTTATGTTCTTGATGTGAAATTTATTAAAAGGCTAAAATACTTGAATTTTCGCTTTTGAATATATTTCATTTTAAGGCTACAAATGGCTCTCCATAATGTTTAAGTCTAACTCAGTTTAAAAAGTCTACACCCACCAAAATTATCCTTACTATTCTCCCCCCTTAAAAAATGGAGAATAAATGTAATTATCAAAAGAATTTGCCTTGGTTCTTAGTTCGCTATGGCAGATTGGTGAACATGCCAACCTTAAAGTTTACACTTCAAGTAATACCCTTCCTATATTGAAGAGGGAGAAAGAAAAACTTCATTTCAAGAGACACTTCTCAATCATCAACCTAAAGCAATTTACCTGCACTCCATAACTTAGCAACCCATAAGAATGTATCCTTCAATAAAAGACATTTCATCTATTAAGTAAAGGTGAATAACCAACATAGTTCTCTGAGCAAATCTATGCAGTACAACTTTAAGTCTTGCACTCGTTTGTGCTATTTCATGAAATATTTTATTAAATACATAGAAATAACAAAGGCTCAGAATTTTTTTTTCTGCACTATTTGTCCTTCTTTCTTTATAATTATGGTGTTAAGGCGCAAGCAGAAAACCTGGAAAAGCATTTGAAAGTTCTACATGTTTGGCTCATGGTATTTTTCAAGTTTGGATTTGCTTCACGTGTTTGCACATTGTATATAATCACTGTATCATATAACAAAAATCAAACATGGTGCTTTCAAATGTGAGATTTAGGAAAATACCTCTCAACAAAGAACTACTCCTAATAAGGTTCAAGCTACAGCCAACCATTAAATATGCAGATATTTTCTCTGAAAACTCTGTAAATAATGCAAGTAAGACAGAATGCCGTTTGTCTTGGCTGTACTTTTGTGTTAAAATGTGACAAAATAAAGATTTCACTGATTTATCACAAGGCTTTATAGGTAGACATGTTTCCATTTCTCATATCAAAGTCACAAAAGTTCATTTTCTACCCCTAACCTATAATGATACTACAATACAGGGTGCATATAGTGTACAGAAAATAATGAAGATATTTTCCAAAAAGTAGCTTGAGGAATGTTCATCAATCCAAAGGTTCTTTGATCTACATTTGATGGTCAGGTCATATATTTCTATAAATCAAACAAGGAATTGTTGGTTAGAAAAAAAAAGAAAAATCAGAATTACCCCCTCTTAGAAGCTTATTTCTTTAACCAAAGCAAGGAGTAATCAGAAGAGAGCAATCTAAAACTTGGTACTTGCTGTTTGGTCATTTGTAATGCCTTGAATATTCAGTCACATTATCATGTACATTGTATTGTTCAGTTCAGTTCTTCTAAAATCCTATTTGTTTTCTTCTCCCATTTCTAAATACTTGTGAGGTAGTTACTCTTGAAATGATCTAATATTGTCTATATTTCCATAGGCCATTTGACGGTACATTTATTATACTTCAAAGTACAAATCTGTTGATAAAAAGTTAGTCGCACAAACTTTCATTCATCATATTACTCCCGTAACAAGGTACAGTTCCTCAAGAATGACATTGTAAGGTTTAATGTATATGGTTGGGTGAGATATATAGGAACTTCATGAAAGAATGGCCTTTGATATGTACTGACATGGCACCAATCCAGTATAAATCCTCCATACAACATTCAAGCACTGTACTATTTGCTATGGGCACTTAATGAGAAAAGCGTCCAGCATGATTTTTCACTTTTTTAGGAATGCTGGATATGGGAGCCCATATTAACGCATTCTAGTGAATTTCAATTTGTATTATTATTTAATACTTCATTAAAGACCTCTATTTTTGTTTTCAATGCTTGACTGAAGTGCCCAGAACATGTAGCACAATGTTTGCTTTGCCTGCATGAGATTAATGTACATTAATGCCATTTCAGTACATGGACATTATTTCTGTTTCCTGTAACACCAGAACCTTTAATCTGCATCAAACGGTCAAGATTTGCAAAATTGTTATGCCCTGAAACAATTCAGTAACATTTACCATATCACTGACCTTGTCAAATTTGCAAATGTTTCTTGCCACAACAATTGTAAAAAGCACAAAATTGTTCATATTTTGTAAAAGTTTCTGGTCTTACAGTATCTTGCTCCATACTTACTTGGGTCAAAGGTCAGCATGCCTTGAAGAAAGGAGACAAACTTGAAGTCACTGCAGTCCAGCTTGGTTCCAAACTTGGAGAAATTATCTGTAGGATATAGAATAGAAAGAAATTAAATTGAAATATGTTATTTATAATATACATCTGTATGAAAGAAATAATCATCATAAGCATACGTACCAAAACCAAATGTCAAAACTTTGTCTCCTTAGATCAAGATAGTAATAAGTGTATTATATTTACTACTGAAGTAAATGTGTTTTCATATATTCATAACTTTCCAAACAACCAGGCTCATTATACATCTCCAAGTCAGTAATATTTACATCCAACTTTTTCTTAGAAAAAGAGAATTAGAGAGAGAGAGAGAGAGAGAGAGAGAGAGAGAATAAGAAATAAGGCGCATAGAAAGAAAAAGGAGAGGGAAGACAGATATAGAGAACAAGGGATCATATGGAAATAATGTTGTAATTTATATCATCAATGCTCTTGTACTATTCATTCCCTGTACAACTTAAACCAATGATGCATGATGATTAAGTGCGAGTGTATCATTAATGGTTTCACATTTCTCCCTTGATGATTCCAGAAGCCACAATTAATTGAAAAGATATTGTTTGGTGGCAAATAAAGTAGATGGATGATTGATTACATTACATCTCTGTGTTAATCTTTTGGGATCGTGTCTCTGAAGGCATTCTAGCATACACCATGGTAATTTATGGGTTAATAATTGAGCTATCGAGTGAAAGAAGACATGCTTGCATGATCAAGAATAACAAATTGGATCAATTTTATAATTTACTTGAATGCTGAATCAAGATCATAAAAATAGTTATTTATTGCCACAAGTGCTGAATTTTCCATTCCTTAGAGAATTCTGATTCTGAATATCAGGCGTAAATCTTTGTATGAATGCTTCTGTCTTAGTTTGAAGAACAGTCATTCATTAGAAGACAAAAAGCAATTTGTTTTTAATAAATAAAAATAATAATTATAATCATGGAGCACTAGGAGTGTCAAGTTTGACAGGCATGAGCATTATACAAGAACCCACAATAAATAGCTTTATTATAAATTGCAAGAATATCAATCAAGAATTGTTACTACTTCGGTGGAAAATCCATGTTTTCTTTAATTGTCATGTTTTCTGCAAGTGGCTTCTGGAAAGAGTGGAAAACACTCATACCAAATGATTAATGTAACCTTTCTTTCATACGAACATAACCCTCAGCTTTAAGTGGATGAACAGATTAATAACAAAATTAAAGTCAGACTCCCAAAACTTAAGCTCAAGTCAATCGAAAAGGAATTATAGTATTACATACAAGATGAATTCATTTTCTGAAGGAAACGATCCTATAATACAATATTAATTCGGAGAGAATGAATTGACTCCACAAAAAAGCAGTTAAAGTCTCTTTGGGGAAGTCAGGGCTTAGTCGAGAAACATGTCAGAACATGTTTGTCAAAACACTTGAAACATTGGTATGATATTCATGATAATATTCATTTTCAACATCCATTCCTTCAGAGCATGTAATACAATCAATGCTGAAATGCATCGGTAGAGGAAGCCTAAACTTCAAAAACTACATGGATTATGCAGTTTATTGAACTTGTTTCTCACCGGGGACATCTGGATGGTTATTGAGTAGAGTATGTGCACATTCAGCAGATTAACATGCATGAATGAATGAAGAAAACCCCTAAGGCAAGAATGTAAAGTAGTGTTTATATTTGATGATCTGACGTAGCAGATGGGTTATTAAACCCAGAGTTATTCTTTGAGATAAGTGGTTGAAGCTGGAAGGATTAACATTCTTTCATCTCCTTTTTTTCCAGGAAAATGCTAAGATGCAAATGATGAATTTTATAGATGACATTGTCTAGTTACATAAGCAAAACAAGTTCATGCCAATCACTGCTCCTCTCTTTATATTTGATGATTTTATGTTGGTAATCAGGAACTTTTATTCTGCATTTTTAGAGATTAAGGACTCCATGGCCAAATTTACCAAAAGCGACCCAAGATAACCTGGCTAGATTACGTCCCTTGATCTATGGAAGGCCAAGTGTCAATCCCTAGTTATCTCTGAATTAATTTTTTTTTTCTTTTCAATGATCTGGATGGGAAATGAAAATGAAAAATTAATTTCATAGAGACAAGGTTTATGAGTGTGTATTTCCATTTAGATAACACAACTGATGGTAAATTTTATAGGAAGAAGAGGTTGCCATTTTACACTTTATAAATCGGTGCACTAACTCTTGATGCAAGTTGGAGTTTGGAGCTGCTGAAAGTAAGGCAGCTTTTAAGTATACAGGTATGTTGACCTCTATTTTTAATACTGTTCCATTCAAACGACAATTCTGTGTCCAAGGAAATAAAGATGAAATGTGTGACATCTCAGTTTTTGCTGACAGCCTCTTGTCAGTAGTCTCATCTCATAAACCAAAGCTCTTATCCAGTGACCCACTTTTAATTGTTAATATTTCTTAAGTGTCAAAAACTCATTGTGGTGGTAATAGTAATTATGAAAATGTTTGTGGTCAATGTTGGTGGTCATAATGGCGGTAACAGTAATGATGACAGGAGCTTGTCAAATAGAACAACCGCATATTAGAGGAGACTAAATCAAACCAAAAAAAATCCCAGTTCTTATCATGGTAATGATATTGCGGTATCAATGAAAGTTGAATTATCAGGAGGAAACAAAAAAGAAAAGGGAAATGAAGAAGGATATGTGAAGATCAAAAAGATTTGACTACATAGTGGTAATGATTGTAATAAAGGGAGATTTTCAGAGCTTCCATTCTTTTAAATGTTTCAAGGGGAATAGGCATCTCTGTGGTTCATTTTTCATTGAATAGTAGGGGTTACATTTCTTTTAATTGCAACAATAGGCTGTATCAGATCCAAGTAATTTTGGTCCTCTCCTCAATGGCCCGACATCCTACTGGTCTTACATTTCATTTGTCCTATCCCATAGGTCCTATGTCTCATGAGTCCTATGTGCCATTGGACTGAAGTCCCAGTGGTCCCACATAACACTGCGCCTGTTGGTCCTAGTGTATCTGTATATCCCATTGGTTTCATTTCCCATTGGGTTTATGTGTGGAGGTGTCGTGGTATAGTGGTTCATTCACTTGACTCTCAGTCAAAGGGTTGAGGGTTCAAATCCCTGCCCGGCACTTACATCCTTTGGAAAGACATGACTCCACTTTTACCACTCTCCACCCAGGTGTAAATGAGTACCCGATATCCCACAGAGCGCTACATATTTGGCAGCCAGCTTTGACGGGGGTAATAATATTAGAGCACCAGGAGTGCTAATGATGGATATGTATATAAGAAGCCACCATTATCATTATATGGTTTATATGTAATCATTAGATTTAATCTGACTAAAGAGGGTAGAATCTTCTAGAATCCTTCAGAATAATTTCTCTGATGCCTAAGGAATCTCTCAAGGACAATCCTGTACAGTACCCATGAAAGACAATGGCTGTCCGACTGATTCCTTGAAATGGGTGAAGAACTTGGCCCTCTGGTAGACTTTGGTAGGGAGTGGTCCAAAAAGTGATGTCATCTGAGTCAACAGGTCCTTCTTCTGCTTGGCCCAGAATAGGGGCTTCCCCAAGTACAGCTATAACACAAGGTGGAGAAAGAACATTACAGGAAGGGTAGAACATTGAAGCCTACAAATGTATTTAATGATCAAGTTTGATACAAAATGTATAACATCTAAAAAAAAAAACCTTAACCCACCACATTCATGATGATGCATAAAGAAAATTGAAAAAAGTGAGTTGATTCAGTTGGTCAAATAAAACTCCCTGCTCCATACAATGAGCATATGTGCTGGTGCTTTTCAGCGATTGATATTTCTTCATTTGGTTAACATTCTGACAACCCATCCACTATATGATAATACAGAGTGATATGTAGCTATTGCAAATATTTTTAATCTTTTCAGATTGATTAGATTGTGCTATTTAGTACCATCTTTACAAAATATACAATATTTCACAAATGTTTTTCTCTGAAGAAACCATACCTCAGCCAAGATGCATCCCAGAGACCACATGTCAATTTCTTGTCCAAAAGGGAGACCAAAGAGTACCTGCAATTGAGAGAAAGAAGATGAAGGAAAACTTTTTAATAAGGACAACAGAACACAATGGCGTATCCAGGATAACTTTACTTGGGGTGGGGGGGGGGGGGGGGGGGGGGGAGGGGCACAAATTTATGGTGATTCAGTACATATGGCCCACATGATAACAGTATGCATTCAGTTCATCTAACAATAACAAAATCTCTTGATATGACCATTGACACTAGTTAATGTATATCAGAAAGAAACACTAGTTAACAGTTAAATCACAAGATTCTCATTCGGGATGAAAAGAAATGAACAGAGACTTGCATCTTATGGGATGCATTGCGCTGGACGGCCTTTAAAGAAGTAAATACCTGCCAAGCAAAATCAATATATTCCATTTTGCTGAGGGAGAAGGGAACAATACGCCCTCTTTGCCTCTTAGATCCACCACTAAAAACATTAATGAATAAATTATTGTCATTATTAGAAATAAGAAACATGCTGGAGCACTTTAAGCTATTTTAAATATTAATGGGAGCATACTTTATTATTCCTTGAAAGGATTCCATGATGTTTATAAGATTCTTTTATTTCAAAGACAATTTTCCTTGAAATTAAATCGTTTCTGAAAATGAGGCCTAATTGACATTTTTTTTCGCAGGAAAAATTTGAGAATTCTTTGGGAAATTAGATCTCCTGTGGCATTGCTTTTAAATCCTGATAAAAAACAACATTTTCATTAACTAGCTCTCAACAACAGGCAATGAATTTCATTTGATTTCCTCATTGTTTAATAATGGCATAAACCTCACTCAAAATTTCACCGGTAATAGTTGAACAGATAAGAGACGGAAGAACAAACATCACGAGAGGCTTTAGGCAACTACACTTTAACAAATGGACCAGCAGAGAAAGTGAAGCTGACAGATTCTTTTACCAGCTCCAATCTACTTGAATTTCATTCTCCATCAACAGCAATAGCAGGAGATTTTTCCCACCGCAGTTTCGATTTGGCTTAATAAGGAAATATTTCTATTTTCACTGAACTACTTTCCTTCAAATTGTTATAAATCAAATACACCACACCAAAAGGGGGACAGATAATGCCCTCTTTTCTTTATATCACGACTCAGTTTCTTCATATGCGAGTGTCATTGACTCTTGCTGGCCCCTATGTGTACAAGTACAAAGAAACAAAACAAGACTTCTTGTGTTCCACTTTTCATGTGACATAAGAACTTGAACAGATTGCATGAAATGACAAGAAACATTCTTCCGTATTCTAATTAATGAGATAAATTGTATAAAGAATAAACAACATCAAACTGTGTCAGTAAAATACTTTTATAGACAGCAAATTGAATCTATTAGAATCATTGAATTGATGTGAAACTGAAGACGATGAATGTTCAGTAACAAATTTTACCCTTTTCATTTAATTTGGCACACTTGAAATACACTTGAAACAAAGCTTTAATGAAATAAAGCTTTCATGATTGAACTAGATTTGTCTAGATAGTAATCAAATGGTAGAGCTGATTGAGAGGGAAAAGAAAAAGAGAAAGAGAATGAGAAAGAGAAAGTAGGAACTGAGATTATGATAATTATTTATGAACCAACAAGCAGAAGTTTAAATTTCTTGCTTGCATTTTTAAGTTGAGATCTAAATAGATAGTTGTATACATAAAGAGATAAGGGGAGAAGAGGGAGAGTGGGATAATTAGGAAGAGAGATAAAAAGGGAGGGAAGGCAGGGCAAAACAAGAAAAAGTGAGAGACAGAATGGTACATATTGCAAGAGAGGGAGAGAGAGATAGAGAGAGAGAGAGAGAAAAGGATATAAAGAGAGTATAATACAAAAGGAAAAAAATGACAAAAAAGAGAAAGTGACGGAGGACAACACTCGGTCAAAAAAAAGTGTGCATCCTGAATAATGAGAAGATGAAGACAAAGAATGAGATACAGAAATACAGTATTTTAAGTAAATGATGAGTTACAAGGTAGTTGAAGAATGTAAATGGAGAAGAAAGAGATAAAGATTCAAAGTAGAGGCAGGGGTGGGGGGGGGGGCAATTGGGCATTGCAGACAGTCACAAACTACAATAAGGGGAAGATAAAAACCCATTCACAAACTCTGGCATGACTAAATCTTTATTTTTTCCAAGAAGAAACAACAAATAAATCAATACCCATGACAAATCATATATGCAAAATGAGGTTCAACGAGGAGACACAAAGGAAAGTCCCATCTTGCCGATTGTGTGACGATGATATTAATCTACACATGACTAATCCATAAATTGGGATGATTCAGGGGATTTGCCACGCATCTGACTGACAGGCCGGTGTATGGAATAACACGGCCTCGGGGAGAGACGTCAAACATGGCATGACAGATTACATCTGCGCTGCCTCCCCACCATACAGCCCAGAATGAGTTTAAAGACAATAGTAATTAGCAATCAAGAGATTAATAGTATTGACTAAAGCAGGGGAGAAGAGAGAGGAGAGGGGTGTCACTATTACCCCTCATCTTGTGTTCTGGGGTGTCATGTTTCATGCAACGATCGCATCAGGGCACGGCCGTAAAGAGCCTTTAATTGAAAGCCCGGCGCATCGGGCAGGGAAAAATGGAATTAGTATAAGGTGTCATCGTCTGAGCAAACAGAAGCAAAACTATGAGAATCGGGGAGATGCGCTCGCTAACCCAGCAGTTCTAAAAATAGAAGTGACATCATCTATCCGAGCGCATGACTGGGATGCGATATGAGAAGATATTTTATGGAAATGAAAATACAAGGAGATTTCACAATCCGATAGCCTGAAGGATTGATTGAAATATATTTCCTCAAATAGAAGACATAAGAAGGATGGATACTGGATAGCTTGAGCAAGGGATGTGTAGTTATTTGTGTTTTCAACTTCATACCAGGGCCTAAGTAATTTCATTAAAATTAGAATTATCTGCATTATAATGAATTCCAATGGCACTAGTGAAATATTTTCTATGTGAGAATTCTTTTATGTCAGTACAAAAAACAATGAAACAACATTAGGCCCTAAACATGACTGAAGGAAGCAAAATCAGAAAGCAAACAAGAACAATGTAAGAACCCCCCCCCCCAACAAAAACAAAAAACAAAAAAATATTGACATGAAACAATATGGTAATTGTGAGGGCTTGTGAAGTACTGTTGCTTATAAAGGACATATATCCAATGGCAATTTATTATTGCTAAACAAAACACAAATTCCATCCATTTAAAAGTTTAAAATTCTAAATGGCATCTCTTCCCCCACCTTTTAAAAGAATGAAAGATCACAAAAGAGCAACATATAAAAGAAAGCACAACGTAAGAAAAAGGAAATGTGAATTTAAGATGACTCAGGCTTCTGACCCATAAAATCATATAACTTTTTATTCACAAGAGCTAGACAAGTAGAAAATAATTCTGCCATTTATTTCCAATTCAGCCTCACTTCCCTCCCAGCTGACTGTCTTTTTAAGTGTGGCACCTTAGCAGAGTTCACTGCCATCCGTTTGCATCATTTACCTAAACAAAATTTGCAGTATCAGCTGCAGGCCTTTAGAAAAAGACAATAAATATAGGTCACCGAGCAAAGGGCGAGACTATATTTGCGTACAAGGGAATATGAGAAGATAATTGACATCGCATGACCTCAGTGTTATGATTCATAGCAGAGGGTTGTTGCATGGTTGTTGGCCCTTTCTATTAAATTCTCTGATCTCGATGAACTTCAGGTTGCAAGGCTAATCTAAGGTAGATGTGGAAACCTTTCAGAGTTTAGAGGATAACATTTATTCCGCTACAGCTGCTGGGCTATTTCAGATCAATACTTGAAAGTTGGTGGCATTATCAAGGTTATGGCTGTGATTATCAAAGTTATTTTTATATATATCATAACTGTCATTGGAGGAATTACTTCCTCTCATAAAGATTTATCACTCAGGTGTTGTGATGTGTTGTGATGTGCTTATCATCCCAATGCCTTCCTTAGAAAGGGTATCAACATCAAACACAGTGTTTAAAACAAAGGCCAGGTATATTCAAAGCAAGTACTATGATGACTGAATAAAAAGTACTCTTTTTCAAATAAACTCTAGTCCAAGAAAAAAATAAAAGTCTGACTATGAAACGTACCAGCAGCCCCATTGAACATGGTTTTAATACTATATTGCATAGTTCATCAATAAACTCTCTCTTGGATACTTTAAACTAAAGCTTTCAAGAAACATCCGGTCCATTCCTATGACATTAACCCACAGGCTGGCTAATTAATCATGTCATATTTGAAGAAAAAGGGAAGATAATACATGTATCCATCATCCACTATCCATTACCTAAATTAGTAGCAAAGACGAACATCATCAACACTTAGTCAAAAGATTGGCCTATATGTTAAGCCGAAGGTGTAAATGTACTCTACCATGCCAAATCTAATTAAGTAGGATGATATGTAACTTGTGACATATGGGACGCATCTAATTAAGACCAGAGAGGGAGGTACAGGGGAGGTATGAGGCAACGAGGGTGAATGACCTGACGGTCTTTCTCCCCAATACTAATAGAACAAGGTAACTTATAAAGAAAAGAAGAAGAAATCACCATCTCTTCTAAGAATACCAGGCAAGAGTCGGCTAAACAAATGCATTTCATCTGCGCTCCGAGGAGAAAAATTAACTGATTTTACATCTATAGAGGAAAATTCCTGCTTCTTGCACTTTGTATATCATATTCTTAATTTGCACTAAGAAAACTATGAAAGAGACTGTGTGCATTGACTGAGTAAAGTACAAATTCAAGAAATAAAATTGATTGCTTTAGACGCATGATGGGATTTGCATTCTTTGTGTTTCATGTTATTTGATATTCATGAACACTGAACAAAGGGAAGCAATTAATTACAGGTAAGTAGTTGTACTATAGATTTTCATTAACTTTCTTAAGTCTACCAGTAGTTCAGTACCTTAAAATATAGAATACAAAACAACCAGTTACACTTTGTGAGGT